TTTTTTTTGAGACGGAGTCTTGCTCTGTCACCCAGGCTGGAGTGCAGTGGTGCGATCTTGGCTGACTGCAACCTCCGCCTTCCTGGTTCACGCCATTCTCCCGCCTCAGCCTCCCGAGTAGCTGGCGCCCACCACCACGCCTGGCCAATTTTGTTTTTGTATTTTTAATAGAGACAGGGTTTCACCGTGTTGGCCAGGATGGTCTAGATCTCCTGACCTCGTGATCCACTCGCCTTGGCCTCCCAAAGTGCTGGGATTACTAAAGACGTGAGCCACCTATGCCCGGCCCAGTCTAATCTCTTAATGATGCCTCCTTCTGCCCATCTTCACATCACTAACAACAATATTGCTCAACCACCTCACTGGGTCTTGTTTCTGTTTAAAAAACCTTTCAAACTGTATTACCTCCAAGAAGAATAAGTTCAAGTGTGTTAACCAGGCCTTGAAGATCCTTCACAATCAGATCCTCCCTGACCATATCCTCCTCTTCCCTCAAATCTTCCCAAATCTTTTCAGCACAGACTTACCATCAGTTCAGAAAGGTCAGTGCCACACACCTGCAAATATGTCCACCTCCCCACTGTAAATACTCTCCTTTAAGCTGGGCTGAATTCCTACCTCCAGGAAAGTTAGTTACCTTGTCATAACATGTTGAATTTTTAATATCCTGGATTCCTTCAATAGTCTTTTACCACCTGTATTGTTTTCAACACTTAACCTTAAGCTTTGTCTCTAGCTAAATCAAAAACATCTGGAGACCTAACACTATACAGTACTATGGAACAAAATACAAATGACTCTTTAAGAAATATCAAATAAAGGCCAGGGATGTTGGCTCACGCCTGTAATCCCAGCACTTTGGGAGGCTGAGGCAGGTGGATCAACTGAGGTCAGGAGTTTGAGACCAGCCTGGCTAACACGGTGAAACCCTGTTTCTACTAAAAATACAAAAAGTTAGCCGAGTGTGGTGGCACATGCCTGTAATCCCAGCTACTCGGGAGGCTGAGGCAGGACAATCGCTTGAACCCCGGAGGCGGAGGTTGCAGTGAGCCGACATCGCACCACTGCACTCCAGCTTGGGGCAACAAGAATGAAACTCAGTTTCAAAAACTATAAATAAATAAATAAATAAATAAATCGCAACCGTTAGGAGACTAAGATTCCACAGACTGATTACTGAAAGTAATTGCAAAAACTGCAAATACTTTTGTACCAACCTAATAGATGCCAGACCGCAAACCAGGTA